TTTCAACCCAAAACCACTCATCACGACCTTTCGTCAATAAAACGGTTCATTTTAAATCCCTCCCTATAAATACCCTTTTCCCCCCAAATCAAAAACCTTTACCACTCACAAATACTCCGGCGAACCTGCAACTAGAAATCTCTCAAAGCAAAACCTACAACATGTCTTCTTCATTCGCATCTGCTCAATCAGTGAACGTTTCGAGCGACAATGAAGTGACCCAAGCACAAGCCCTGACATCCCATGCATTGTCTTTCGTTCAAAACAAATACGAGAAGGTTGTACTCATTAAAAAGCCAAACAACTACTTCTTCGTCCCATCTGCAACAGGTTTTCCAGATTTTACCTTTCCTTTAATTGAAATTCTAAGAAACCATCCTCTTTTCTTTGCCCTATCTGCTACCAAACCAACCCCAGAACCGTATATAACCCAATTTCTCCTGAGTTCCTACATAACAACCCTTGACAATTTTGGTTTAACAGTTGTTGGATACGCCTCACACCCCGTCAATAAATCTCTGGTTCTCTTAGAACTAAATGTGGACATCTTAAGGACTGCATTGCGTTTACCCACTTTGGAGGAACTAAATTTGAATGCCTATGCTGTGACCCCTACTGACGAGGAATTGATTAAATTCCTCGAATTTCACTCCTATGTGACCCCTATCGTCAAAAGAACTCAATTCAAGCACAAAGGACTGCCCCCTGTCTGGAACACCCTGTTTTCTATCGTCAACTGTTGCTTGACAGGGAAGGTGGGTATTCACGACCAGACCTCACACGCCATGATGTCCATCATGTACAGAATCTACTTCAACCTTCCTCTGGATTGTGCGCAGTTAATATTCGAGGATATGGTCGGGTTAATCAAGAAGAAATTCGCAAGTCAAAGGGGCGAAAAATCAAAGGTCAAAGCACAAAAGAAGGCCAAAGAGGACATGAACCAACCCAACCTTATTCTGCACCGTTTCCTTGGTCTAGTCTTTGGCGATCTTCTAGCAGCCAAACTTCCTTCTGTGGAGCCAAACGCAAGGCTTTACCCGTTCAAGGAATTTAACCCCACTAAGCATGAGCAAGGGTATAGAAGCCCAAGACCCTTATCCAGAGCCATGCTCAGGTTTCTTAGCCATGAAGATAGGAAGGCTTATAGACGTGTATTTAGGTGACCAGAGCCGGTCCCTGAGACCCCACCACGAATAGGAATCCCCCTAGGCTAGAAAATCGAAAAAATGAGGGTTGAGGGACGTACGGAGGAGCCTGCAGAAGAAGAAGGCCTAAGTGTTCCTCTACCAAAACCTAAGAAGAAGAAAGCCAAGAAGGCTCAACCAACAGAGCATGTGGTCACAGAGCCTGTAATCACAGAGGCTGTCGCACAAAAGAGCCTGGTAGAGGATACCACTCCTAAGCGCAGAAGATTGTGCAAAGTCATTCTTAATGTTTCCCCAACAGAACAAATTCAGGATGTTCTCGTTAACATTCAAAATGAGTTCAGAACGCCAATTGACATATCCAAGTTGGAAATAGAGGTCGTCTTAGACGACAAAAAAGAAGAGGAAGAAGAACTAGGTGAGGGAGAGCAAGATGCCAAAGGCACACAACCCAGCCCACCTCCCAGTGCATCCCACGCTTCTAGGGGCCCTGTTCTAGAGGGATCCCCTATTGAACAAGGCACGCACATGCCGAACCCAAACCAAAAGGATGAAGGTTTTACTACAAGAGTCCCTTCGCCTAAGGACTCGACAGAACCAAGAGAGGCATCCGTTGCCTCTCTACACGCGAGTGACCACCAAAAACGTGCTTCAGAGGCACAAGTGTGGCACACAGAGACAGAGGGTCTTGAACGCCCTCTGTCCCCACTAGATCACTCTGCCATGATAGGCTCTAAACCTACAGGGCACGAAATCTATAGAACACCAATAGGCTCTCCTCTGGGAGATGTTCGAGGATCTGGTGGAAGTCCCCGAGCAGACTACGCTATACCAGTCGCTGAGCGCGTCTCACGCTCCGAGGCTACTAAATCACCATGTGTTGGTGGTTTAGGTACCTAGGATACGTAAGTGACAAAGGGGAGCTTCAAACCTTTGCCACAGAAGTATTCAAAAAGATAGAAGAGTTGAAAAGTTTGTTTATCTCCCGTTCGGTGACAAAAGACCTCTCTCCTATAACAGAGGCTCTGAAAGAGTTAAGCTCAACAACAGCAGAACTCAAGTCTACTCTTTAAACTCTTCAGAGCTCTGTCCTACAGAAGGATGATCTCACAGAGGCGTTCAAAGCTCTAAGCCTCAACCCCTCCTCCATCCAAACCTTGAAGACAGAACTTTCAGAAATGGCCGCCCAATTCTCTGCCGACTTCATCTCTGCGGGCTACACGAATTACTCCTCTCTCAAAGACGAAATTAAGCAGATGTTTTCCTCTGCGGTGACTTACGGTATTGATACAAAGTCCTCCATAGCCAACATCAATCACCTAGCTACCCGTAGAGAGATTGATGCTATGGTTGAAGCTCTGGGTAATCTCGTGTGCAAGCACACATACAAACTTCTCAAAGAGGCCCGTGCCTCCAACATAGCGATCTGAGACTGCACATCACAGCTCATGAAAGAGGTTGACCTCCTCAAAAGAGAAATCTACAGAAGCGTCTCCAAGCTAAAATGGTCGACAGAGATCGACATTAATCATGCCTCTGAGCTAGCAAGTGAGGCAATAAAGAAGATGAAGAAGGCGGCCACTAAAATTTTGCAGAGGTTGGATAAGGCTCCCCTGGATACATGCAAGGCAGAAGCCAAAAAGAACCATGACGATCAAGAAGGTGATGATCGTGATCGTCATGAGGGGGAGAAGAAGGCTGAGAAGAAAGCTTCAGAGCCAAAGAAGACTCCTGCCAGAGGCGTCAAGATTTTGGACTCTACAGCTGCCTTGTTCTCAAAAGGCAAGGAAAAGGCACCAGAGCCCAAAGGCAAAAGCAAAGTTGTAGCGTCACCACAGAAGGGGTCGTCGTCTAGTACAGAGACTCCACATTCAATAAACGAAGAGGAATACAGAGATGACCCAGCGTTCCTTGAAGCTTTAAAGGCATCCCTGGCAGAGGCTCAAGCCAAGAAGGGCAGAGGCCCCATCCCTCATAGAGTAGGAGAAGGTCCTTCATCACAATTCCCACAAGTCCAAGAAACGTCCACAGGTACGTTTGACGCTCTACAAGGAACCGTCAAACCCATCCTTGCAGAGGGGTCAACCCAGAGGCCAATTCTGGAAGAAGAGGAAGCCAAGGTGCCAGAGTCCGCCACGGTAGAAGGGTGTCTGAAATTTTCGAATCAATGAACAAGATTCCAATGCCAAAAGTCAGAACAGAGCCCGCTTCCACTATAGAAGAAATTCTAGTGTGGAGGTATTCTGCAGTAGACACAGAGCCTCCCTACGATCCAGAACTTACAGGGATCCCTTCTGCCGCCGCCAAATTCCAGTTCTCAAAGCTAACAAGGCCTCATGAGCCAGTATTCTCAGAGCACATGATTACTTCCCTAGAGACAATTTCTCCAAGGACTCTGCTAAAAAAGAAGGTGCTCTATGCTCAGTATGTAGTAAGGAGGGAAGATGGCAACCTGTATACCTTCACAGATGCTGACCTCCACAACCTCTGTGTGTTTGATGTCATCTACATGCACAAAATTCTCAACATCTACATGGAGAGGAGGTCAAGCTACTCAATATCACTCAGAAGGCTGATTGAAGTCATGCGCGCACAAGTAAGATATTACAGCCAGAAGGACTTCGAGCTCGCGGTAAGGTT